CAAAGCAATCTATATATTCAACGCAATCCCTAGCCAGATTTCATCAACCTTCTTTAAAGACATAGAAAAAACAATCACTAATTTTATATGGAAAGCAAAAAGATCTCTGATAAGCAAAGCACTACTGAAAAAGAACAAAGTAGGAGGCCTCATACTCCCAGATCTCAAAACCTACTACACAGCCACAGCTGTCAAAATAGCCTGGTACTGTTACAACAAAAGACATATAGACCAGTGGAACAGAATCGAGAACGTAGAAATAGATCCATCCACTTATGGAAAGCTGACCTTTCACAAGGGGCTGAAATCCATTAAATGGGGAAAAGATAGCCTCCTTCACAAATGATGCTGGGAAAACTGGATATCCATTTGCAGAAAAATGAAACAAGATCCATACCTCACACCACACACAAAAACTAACTCCAGATGGATCAAATACTTAAGTGTGAAACCTAAAAGTATAAAGTTCATCAAAGAAAAAATAGGGACAATCTTACAGGTCATAATTTATGACATAAATAGACTACCAAGCATAACCCAAGATGCACAAACAGCTAAGATGAACTAGACAAATGGGACCTTCTGAAAATTAAATTCTTATGTGCTTCAAAAGACTTCTCTAAGAGTTTAAAAAAAAAAAAAAAAAAACCCTACAGAATGGAAAAAATTATTCGGCAATGACATACCGGACAAAGGTCTTATCTCTAAAATTTATAGAAAACTCCAACACCTCAACATCAAAAAGATACAATCCAATTAAAAAATGAGCAAAACATATTAACAGATACTTCACTAAAGAGCCAACAAATACATGAAGAAATGTTTACTATCATTGGCCATTAAAGAAATGTAAATCAAACCAACAAAGAGATACCATCTCACTCCACCACTAATAGCAAAGTTCAAGACAGAAAATAAATGCTGGTGAAGATGTGGAAAGACTGGGACTCTCACACACTGTTGATGGGACTGTAAAATAACACAACCACCTGGAAATCGGTAGGGCAATTCCTTAAAAAGTTGGAATCAGAAATAGCCATTTGATCCAACAATCCCATTACCATAGGTATGGTAGTTAAGGTTGTCAACTTTACTGGGCTTGGTTGAGTGGCTGGGCAGCTGGATATAGTTATTCCCCATGATGAAACTGGTAATTTAACTTCATGGTGGAATCTATCGGAGCAGCTGAATAGCTGCTTTAGGGATGTGTTCTGCTTCCAGTATGTAAGAAGCAACTTTCAAGAAGGTCCCCAGCTGGAACCCTGCGTGTAGCCAAGTCATTCAGCAGCCTGCCATGCTCTGCCAAGCTTGGGACTTTCAAAGGACTTGAATTCATGGCCTGCCATGTGTGATTTGGTAATACTAGGACTGTGCCATTCTATTTGTTGACCTTGGGCTTGTCAGCCTCAGGAACCAGCAGCTGCCTGAGTGAAGAGATGCCTCGAGCTTCAGTGGGCCGGGAGCCAGGCAGAGCCGAAGCCTGGCACATGGAACTCGGACTTATTTCCAAAACTGTAAGAGAATAAACTGCCCTTTGTTAAAGCCATCCCATTTGTGGTATATTCCTGTCAAAGCCGCACTAGGGAACCAAAACACTAAGTATATATCCTAAAGTAAGAGCTGGGAGAAGAGCACACACACGCATATGCATATTCATCGCAGCACTATTCACAACAGCAGAGATGGAAATAGCCTAAGTGCCCATCAACCAAGGAACAGATAAACAAATTGTGGTACATACACACACACAAAGGAACACTACGCAACCTGAAAGAAGAATGCAGAATCTGCAAACACTGCATAACGAGGATTAACCTGGAGTGAGTGAAGTCAGTCAATCACAGAAGGACAAATATCGGATTAGTCCACTACTGCAAAAAGCCACGGAAAAGTTTATACACAGAAGGAAACTTTCTTTGTTGGTTACCAGGGATAGGAAGGAAGGGAGGAGAAATTCCTAGACAGGTTGGGGAAAAAAAAAAAAAAAAAAAGAAAGAAACCTAAGATTATTAGTGGTTACCAGGGGTAGAAAGAAAGGGGAAAGGGGAAGCTTTTGTTCGAAAGGAAAGGAAAAAACAGTAACAAAAACTCCACTGCCATGGAGTTGATTCAGACTCAGTGCCCCAGAGGACAGAGTCTAATTGTACCACAGGGTCTCCAAGGCTGCCAGTCTCTCTGGAAGCAGGCCTTCTCTGGAGCAGCTGGTGGGTTAGAACTGCTGACCTTCTGGTTAGTGACAGAATATTTTAACCACTCCATCACCAGAGTTCCTTCCATGCACTAAAGTAACACAAAGTAAGAACTGTACGCACCTGTTCTGACTTACCTACAAATTCGACTTAATGATTTACTTACTATTAAGAACTGAAGTCTTTCATAACCACCTCCCGCCCGCATCCAGGTGGAATCTGAGGCCACAGTGAACATGGAGCTCATCGAACAAACACCCTTATCCTGAGTTAAGTGCAGTGGTGAAGCAGTGGTTAAAGTGCTCATCCTTAGTTAATATTATCCACCTTCCTGAGCAGATTTGCTCAGAAAGTTAGGATTCCAGCCTCAAGTGCACTTCTCACTGAAGTTACCCAACTAGCATTTGGATTTAATGAAACAGCAAATAAGATTTTGAAAAAGTTAAGCAGAGAATGACTGAAACAGAAAGACCTATCAATTCCAAAACAGCCCTTTTATGGCTGGGAACAACAGGCCGGCATACAGTAAGTCACGTGTCCACGTGGCCCAGCAGGGCCGGCACCAGAGCCCAGGACCCTTCCTCCTCCTACACCGAGCAGCCTGCCTCTGGCCGTCTATCCACCCTCAGCCCCAACACTCCTCTCCCGTCTCCCAGGGCTCCAAAGCCTGCAGACAGCACGAGGGTTAACCAGGCAGTCCAAGTGGCGGTGGGGGTGGTGCTAGAGCAAGGAGCCCCTGCCCACAGGAGAGGAGGCAGGAAAGCATGTGGAAGCAGCCCTTGCAGTGACAGCAGGCTGGGTGGCCCAGAAGGAACACTATGTCAGTCTGTCACCCAATCACTGTTCTCAGCAGTGGCGCACAATCCTGACTTTCTCCCCAGGGCCCTGCAGAGGCCAGGCCCACTGCAGATGCTCACTGAGTATTTTAAAAAATAAAGTCCTGTCACTATTTTCAAGAGTGAATCAGCAATTGGGCTGCAGGCTCCAGCCAAGACAGCAAATTAAGTCATCCTTCCAGAACACCAGTGTGGTGAAGTTGTATGTCAACCTGGCTGGGCCGTGGTTGCTGGGCGGCTGGATGTTGTATTCCTCATGATCAGATTAGCGGTCACCTCCATTATAGAATCTGCTGTGAGCAGCTGAGTGGTCTGCTTCCAGTATGTACTGGAAAGCTTTGAGTAAGGTCTATTGGCAAGACTGGATCCTGTATTTGGCCAAGTCTTCACCTCAGTGGTTTGTCGTGTTGCCCGCCAATCTTGAGATTGTTCCTGAACTTGAACTGATGGCCTGCCATTTTATCTGCTAATCTTGGAACTGTGCCATTTTACCCATTAATCTTGGGTTAGTCAGCCTCAGCAGCTGCTGAGTCAAAAAGCCTCTAACTCTAGTGGGACTGGAAAAGGAAGCAGAGCTGAAGCCCAAGGTGCAGGTGCCTGCACCCAGCCTCTAGAGCTGGCACTCTGAATTTGGACTTCTGGCCTCTTAAACTGTTAAGAGAATAAACCCCTGTTTGTTAAAGCCATGCACTCGTGCTATTTCTGTTAGGGCAGCACTAGAAATCCAAGACAACTAAGGAGCCCAACGGAACTCTACAGCAAAGCTGGACGCATAGACGAACCTCAGAGAACACACTTAACAAGCCAAAGCTGAGGCCATCGGCAGCTAAACTCAAGGTCATCTGTTTATCTAGAAAGTTCTAACTAACTTCCAGGGAAACTGCTGGAAACTGTAAAGGCGTTACTGGCCTCTCTTCAGCCTTCAGCCGTGATCTCATCAGATGCTGGGGGTGTCTGACAGCTGAGCAAGGTCAGCTACCTGCCCCCGGAATCTGGCAGGACAGCCGCTAACCCTACCCCAACCGTCCACCCTCCTCCTTGCTGATGCATCTGCAGACTCCTCAGAGAAGCCCTGTGCGGAAGTTCCAAATGCAATCAGGGAGCAACTGCCTACAGGTCGCCCCTAAGCCCTGGGACTAGTGAGGCTCGGGTCCAGGGAAGACTGTGATGAGCAATCCTCCCACCCCATGGTACCCTTCCCCTCACAGCAGGGCCCATTCACGCTTCAACACCCTGAAATGCACTGTCTGCCCTCCACTCTGCATCCCAGGTCACTAACAGCTAACGTGGCATCCTCTAGAGAGGCCATCCTGCCTCCTAAGTCCATACTCAGGCGTCAGCTCCTGGGCCACAGTGCAGGTCTGAGCCATTCGTTCCTTCGCATGGCTTCAGATTGCGCTAGGTCTTGCTCCCCACAGGTTAAAGATGGGGCCCGTGCCGTCTGTCAGAGTCTAGAACTGGTGTCAGGGGAAGGGGCAAAAGAAGCCAGACCAGACCCTGGGCTCCTGAAAGTTACACTCAACCAGGGAATCAGGTGGCAATGCAGGCAACCTGCATTCCCCAGGGCCACACTGACTGGCAGGTGTCCTCAAACTCAAGGCACTTCCCAGGAGCAGGGCTGAGCCATGTCCTGCCCCTCCAGCTGGGAGGCACCACCTAGCCAGGCACTGAAATACATGATCTACTTTCAATCCTCGCAATCACCCACCGACACAGATAGCTGTCTTCCTGTTGTCCAAGGTGTGCCCGGCAGCCCCAGGCACCTGTGTGTGTGTGTACCTGGATCCTCCCCACAAGGACCTACTGTGCAGAAGCGACCCGGCTATAACGCCCCACCTTCCTGCAGCATCTCCCAGTTTGTGCCCCAGTCCCTCAACACCTCAGTGGTCCTCTGGCACAAGCTGTAACCAAGGCCACGGGCAATGGCAGCAGCCCCAAGCCAAGGAGTGGCCCGTTCTCACCAGCACACACTTACCACCACGGAGTCGTTGTGAGTCAGGTCGACGACCACTGGTTCCAAGGACTCACAGGTGAGGTCCACTATTTCATCGCCAGCTTGGAGAGAAAGCAATAAAGGGCATCAGGAGGCACCATCCTGAAGGAGAGAACGTCTTTGTCCCAGCACTTCCACCAAGAGTCCCAATATTCTCTCTGACTGGATCTGGAGAAGTCTCTGCAGCCAGGAATATGGACCGCTTTGATTGGCTCTGCCCTGATCATGTGTTCCCACACAAGCCAGGGATGGAAACAAACACATCCACAAGCCCTCCCCTTCTCTTCCCGACCTCTCTCACTTGCAGTCTGCCATCGACTCTAGTAACAAACTGGAGCTGTCTGGCCATGATCTGTTTCTTTAATAAGCATCAGCTCCCAGATGATTGGTAAGCTGGGGAATGAGAGCAGGCCAGATTCCTAGGGTTTTCTCCAGCCCATTAGTGTCGTGCAGTAACCGGAGGCGGGCTTGCTCACAATTCAGTCTGTTACACAGGCACAGGCACAGGCACAGACAGAGACGAGGGTTTATCAGTGGTTACCGGGCTGGGAGAGATGGGGACAGAGCTGGCCACTGTTTATGGTGGTGGGGAATCTGGTACTGATTATGGGTAATAGTTGCACAACATGATTAATATCATTAAATGACACATCTGAAGAATTAAAAAAAAAAAGGCATTAGGAAAGTGGAGGCTCCCAGCGTGACTTCCAAAGCAGCGTGGGTGCTTTCACCTGGATGGACCTTGAGGACACCATGCTGAGAAGTCAGTCACAAAAGGACAAGCACTGCATGATCTCACTCACATGAAATAAGCAAACGCACAGGATCCAAAGATGATGAGTGGTTACTAGGGGTGACACTGAGCCCACTAACCAAAAAGGCTGGTGGTGTGAACCCACCAGCCACTACATAGGAGAAAGGAGCTGTCTGTCTCCGTAAAGATTCACAGCCTTGGAAACCCAATGGGGGTCACTGTGAGTGGAAAAGGTGTTTGGGGGGCACTGAATTCATGGTCATGGTGGTGGACCAGCTTTGGATGAGGATAGCAATCACCAGTGACACAGCATGAAACATGTAACCAATGTCACTGAGTTGCGACTGTGAAAGCTGTCGTGCTGGGGGGCTGTTTTGGCGTGTAAGTTCCTACAATATAAAGAGGAAAACAAAAACAGTACAGGTTTATACAAATGAAAAACCTGAAGTGTCAAGTGGAAAGAGCATGAGGACTGACCTCACCCTCAGGGGTGACAGCCACCCATGTCCTTGCAGGATTTTGCTGAGTGGATGTATGGTGTTTACAAATATACCAGGGGTGTGAGTGTTTATACTTCCTTCCCTGGTGGGGCAGTCCCACATGGCTAGGCCGGGTGGGAGAAGGCATCAGGGACCCTCAGCTCCTGGCTTCCTATTTGGGAGCAGTTGGCCTGTAACCTCTGCCCCTCCCAGCAGGGGAAGCCCTCAGCTGCTATTGCAGGCTGTTCAAACTGCCTGTGTGAATGAGTGTGGCAGCCACTTGGTCCCCAGGCCTAATCATGCTCAGCTCACCAACTCTGCAAGTGGGCATTTTCTCTCCGTCTCCCTCAAGGGCTCCTCGGCGCGGATGGAGAACGGGTGCTCTGGCACAAAGAGACGGAGCTTGTTCTCAGCCTGCCCCTTTGAGCACTAAGTACACTGTGCACTGTGGAAATCTGAGCATAGGAGAAAGCCAGGAACTGCTAAGAGCAGGCCACATAGCAGGTGACAGCGAGCGGCAGGGTACAACTTTCACCTCTGCATGAAGCTAGGGTGTGTGTGTGTGTGAACCTACAACCAGTTTTGTTTCTACAAAGGTAAGAGTTTTTTTTAAAGAGAAAATGTGTTTAATATTAGTTTGAAGGCGCTCTGGTGGCACAACGGTTAAAACATTGGGCTGCTACTCAAAATGTCAGTGGTTCGAACCCACTAGCCACTTGATGAGAGAAAGATGACACAGTCCGCTTCTGTAAAGATTTACACAGCCTTGGAAACCCTATGGGGCAGTTCCACTCTGCCCTACAGAGTTGGCCTTGATGGTAGTGGGTGATATTTGAGGAAAGTGACCTGCAATGCATTTAATGTATTCTACCTTATTTTATTTTCTTGTATTAAAAATTTTCACAGGGATAAAAACTATTACATAGCACAGCTCAAACAAACAAACAAAAAGAAACCCACCAACACCAAACCCACTGTCAACAAGTCAACTCCTACTCAGTGATCCTACAGGACACAGTCCTGCCCCATAAGGTTTCCCAGGCTGTAATTTTTAGGGAAGCAGACTGCCACGTTTCTCCAGTGGAGCCACCTGGTGGGTTCAAACCGCTGACCTTTCGGTTACCAGCCAAGTACTTAACCAAAGCACCACCAAGGCTCACAGCACAGGTAGCCAACGAAATTAATACAGAACCACCTCATTCTCTCTGATGGTTGCTTGGGGTCTCCTGCACCAGACTCACCTTAAGGACAGAATTCAGACACCAGGGTATCATCTTTGGGGATGAAGGGAGGCTAGAATCCTAGCCTTTAGGCCAAGAAGTGAAGAGACCTAGTCAAGGCTTTTTAGGAATTCCCTGGTAGAAATGATACTTGAAGCCATAGACAATACAGGGAACTCATTCCACTGGGGGTGGGCATGAGAAGCACCCCCAGACCAGGTAGTTTCTGTCAATGCCAGTTTTCAGGCATCAATTATAAACATAATCTCAACATGGGCAGAGCAAGGGGACCTGGTGCAGGCCTCTGTTAACACCCCTGTGCAGAGGCAAACCTGGCCTCGACCACAATCCAACATAGGCAGCTATGCTGACCAGCTGGCTGTCTTGGGGCCATCTGTTTCCACGAAAAACCTAAGTGGAAAGCTGAGTATTTCACAAAATAAAGCAACTTCAAGTCGAAAAGGTGGGCCCAGGCTCCCCCTTCCCCTGCAGCAGGTCCCCAGTGGGCTGAATGGTGATCCAGCTAAGAGAGCACCTCAAACCCAAGGGGGTAAAAACAAACAAAAAACTCCAAGGGGGTCGTGTTGTTGTTTTTATGTGCCGTCAAGTCAGACCCGGCTCATAGCTACCCCTCCTTGGGTTTCCGAGGCAGTATCACTATGGAAGTAGATTGCCCCATTTTCCTTCCGAGGAGTGGCTGGTGGGTTTGAACTGCCAGCCTTCTGGTTAGCAGTCAAGTGCCTTAGGCACTATGCTAGCAAAGCTCTCTCAAGGGGGTCTTAGGTAAGTGGAGCATACAGCTTATGCAAGTTAGCTTCAAGCTGTGAGTAGAAAAATGTGGTTGGTGATGGTTACCCATAAGTGAGTCTGAGATTCATCTCAAGAAACCAGCAAGACCTCACCACAGTCAACCCCTGCCCAGTAAGTGCTACCTGCCAAGACTGCTTTAAGAGTGCCGTGTGATTAACTCATGGTGGCCCTGACAACTCTATCAGCAGGTGCTGCAAACAGCCCATTTCAGATGAGGACGGGTTCTGAGCACCACGCTCCACAGTTGGTCAGGCAGTGTGGGGCACAGGAGGGTCTGCACCCACCTACCACCTCTTCATTCTTGTAATGCCATGATGAGTGTTGCTGGCAAGCTTACCGCTTTCCACGAGTTCGATGGGCTCTGCTTCCACGGCCATCTCGGGTGTGGAGGGCGCCTCCCGAGTTCGCTTCTGGGCTTGTCTAGAATTTATTGTTCCGCCACGCCGCTTTCTCTGAAGGTATCGAGGGGAAAGAATAAAACATTCACACAGACGCCTGAACGTTTATGATTTCAGCAAGCAGTCTAAGCATAAGAAGAGAAGCCCCACAATGAGGACTTTTTGGACCCCTGAGTACAACAGGTGGCCAGGGACTAGACCTGAGGTTGGGGTCCTTTCAAAACCTGAGATTCCAGGACACTGCGTACAGAAAAAGAAAGCCCCTCAAACCTAACAGTGACCACAGATTCTACAAAGTAAAGCTCTCATGTATCGCGTCATCGGAATGTCAGAAGCATGGCATGCTGTCTTCCAGACTCCTCTCTGTCCAGGTCAGGGTTTGGCCTTGGCAGTGGATGGCCTTGTTTTAAGCAAATGTTACAAATGTCTTTCTTCCTAGAATGTGTGTTCTGTTTGACGAAGCCTTTTTTTGTCTGTTAGCCTAATTAACTTCACTTTCAGTGTTAATAACATCAGCTGTGGAAAGCTGGTGGTCTTTGGGACACGTAGCTTCTAACCTCTTAGAAGACTATCAAGTGTGACTCCCAACCTCACAGTGGAAGTCTCTCTCACTGGTTCTGCCAGGAACCAAAACACCCTACAACTTCTAAGATGTTCAGAGCTGCACCGATGGTAGGACACGTCCCCACCTCAGTCGCATTCTGGGACTTCCGTCTGCCAGCAGCCACAGCTCTATCCTAGACACTCTGGAATTCAGCCGGAGACAGTTAAGCTGGTGTCCCTGGCACAGTCTTTCAAGAATTAGGTTACTGAAAAGCAGCTTTATGGGACTTTCGTTAGTACCACACTCGATAAGGCAGTTGCTCAGCCCTGAAAATAAAACTCACGGTACTCATTGTGCTCCTGGCTCCACCCACAGAGGAGGCGGCTCGGTGCAGTACGGGCGGGGCAGCGGAACACTCCACCTCTCACACCTGCTGCTCAGTCATTCTCCGGCTTGTGTAAGAACTAGGGGCCACACCAATTTCCAGTGTCTTCCAATCCTGAAAAATAAAGAGATGGACGGCTGAGTGCTGCCACTCACATCACGACAACGCTCCCATCACTGGGCCCTCTCCTCATCTAGTGCCGCAGGCAGCCTCCACGGACCAGGTCGCTATGGGAAATCGGCGTTGTGTGAAAATGGAGGATGACCACATCATTATGTAACTGCCGAACTTCATCATGCCCGACACGTAACATGACCATCACAGTCAGAGTTCCCCCACCTCAGCATTCCTTACTGCCCGGCAGATGCTGTTGTGCGAGGGCCAGGTGGGGTTTTTCTTTTGCTGTGAACGTGAAACGCTGGATAAGAAGACAGTGAACCAGTAAGGAGCTGGTGTAACTGACCGAACCCCTTCTGTGGGCACTTTCAGTACTCTACCTTGTTTATTCCCACGTTCATCTCATGAAGTAAGGTGCGTTTTTGTTAACCACCACTTTGATCCTAAAGCTTGCAACCATAACCATCCTGCCATCTCCCACCCTCTTTTCCAGCTGCGGAAACCTACAGGGCATCATACCACGTGCCACAGAGTTCTGGGAAGCTTCCTTCTCATGCATGGCCTTAGGTACCCCTCAGAGCAGCTGCAAGGGACCAGAGATGACTAGTTTACCACAACACGGAGAAACAGAAGCCACAGAACCCAGGGCCCCTGACTCATCTGGAGGGACTGGCAACTGAGTTGAAGGGATCCCAGTGACTCACTGTAATTCACTGTGTACACCCAGTTGAGACTGTGGGTGGGGGAAGGAGCATAAGAAGGGGACCTTCCCAGAGGGGTAGATAAAGTGTCAGAGCGTCCCTGGGAGTCTGAGGCTGCTCCATTCAAGGGCTGCTGGAGGGCTGCAACCATGCTAAGTTCTGGTCCAGAACCCAGGGTGTGACCACGTCGAAGGTGCCAAGATCTGTGCTACTAATGGGGCAACCCCGGGCATGGAGCAGGATTAAGGGACTGAGCCAGCGAGGTGGGTGACGACAGTCTTGGGTCCCCCAGCTGGACTCCCAGCACAGGAGCAGAAGGCATGGGTTCTCTGAGAAAGCCCTAGCTAAGCAGCTCTTGCCACACTGTGGCCCGGCCCCTCTGAGGAAGCAGGGCACGGTGCCTACGCCTGCCCTCTTGGGGCTTCATCGTCCATCCTGACTCAGAGGGTGTTAGGGAAAGCCCCTTAAGTCTGTCATTCTCTGAGGGAAGGCTATGTAGCTGGCATGCAGTATGACACCTCCCGATGGCACTGTAAGAATGGTGCAGTGACTTCTCCAAGTGACATCCCGCCCACTGAGCCTTCCCATCTGGACAGGCACTCAGGGCGGGGGCTCTGGCCAGGACAAGGCTGAGCACATTTCTCCGTGGCCATTCAAATCCCCCAAGCACCCCAGCTCTCCACATGCCCTGGGTTCTGAGGCTCTGAGGTCTGCGATCCCAAGAGGTGTCTTACGGTCTTTGGGTGTGTACCTATGGTGTCATTTCTGTTAGTGAAGAGAAGTGCGAAAAATCTGATTAGAATGCCACTTGAGGAGGAGGAGGAGGGGGTACAGATCAGCACAAAGCCAATCCCAGAAGGTCAAACATCCCCCAGATATCCACATTCTCCGAGCTGCTGGACCCCTGGCCACCCCCTGCTCCCTTTCTCTCACCCCCCCCCCCCCGCTGCGGTTCAGGAACCGGCCCTGTAATTAAGGGGTTAACAAGGAAGCCACAGGCTACAGCTGGGGATCAGGAAGCACATGGGCAAAGGTGCTCTTGGTCAGAGCCGACAGTGCTTTCTGCTCCTCTGACCCCACCGTCTGTGGCTGGGCTTTCCGCCTGGTCCCTTCTGGGCCTCTCGCTGCCTTCAGCGTCACCACCACTGGCATCGGTTACGGCTGTAGGAGGCTCTTCGTCTCCTTCTCTCTGCTGTCTTCCTTCTGCTTCTTTCCATCTAAAACCCTGTGGGCTGGCTGCTTATATCCACAACTCTTTGGCAATATCACAGCACTGGTCCCCTCAAGGGGAGGTGGGCACAAACACACCAATCCCTGCAGGATACATACCAAGCACAGGGTAGGCTGCAGCCCAGGACCAGACAAAAAGTATCAAACCGAGGTGTTTAGAACTGAACCAGGAAGTATCAAATGGAGGGATGCCTTGGCAGGCGCCTGAGCTCCTCTACCTTCCCAAGGGGGGGAATGAAGACAAACAGCCAAGGCTGACTGCTCTGCGGCACAGGTCAGGCACACCACCCCTTTCCAACCCGTTCACCCACTTTGATGCCAAAAGTCCCTCAGTCGTCCTTTGCCAATAAACACCCAGAAGCACCCCACTATGCACTCAACTTTCTCGCTCTGTAACTGTGAAGCCCACTGTGCCATCCAGCTCATACGGGTCTCCTGGTTCTGGTGCCACTTCTTGCTGTTTTTCAAATCTCAGTGTCACAGCTCACTCTGTCTCCTGGGTCTAGGAGCTCCCTGTTCAGAGCCCTCAGGTCCAAAGAGGTGCTCCACCCCTAGCTCTTATTCCTGGGGGTGTGTGGGGGGACCCCCCTGTCTTCCACTACAATGGCTCCTTTTTAAGCCTAGCAGGATGGCAAAACAGACCAACCCCCATGTCAGGGTTCCATACATTTCATTTGCATGGCTCTACCCCCATACAAGGAGCTCTGGTAGCATAGTGCCTAAGGCACTTGACTGCTCACCAGAAGGCTGGTGGTTCAAACCCACCAGCCACTCCTCGGAAGGAAGGTTGGGCAATCCTACTTCTGTAGTGATACTGCCTCAGAAACCCAAGGAGGGGTCGCTATGAGTCAGGGCCGACTCGACGGCAAACAACAACACCACCCCCGTACATGGGAGCTCTGGTAGCATAGTGCCTAAAGCACTTGACTGCTGACCAGAAGCCTGGCAGTTCAAACCCACCAGCCACTCCTCAGAAGGAAGGTTGGGCAATCTACTTCCATAGTGATACTGCCTCAGAAACCCAAGGAGGGGTCGCTATGATTTAGGGCCAACTTGACGGCACATAACCAACAGCAACCCCCACACAGGTGCCATGTGCTTAACTGCATTACTAGCAAGCTATGTGATCCCCTTGGTGGGCCACAAGCACCTCCCTCACCTGCATAAGCCCATCTATTCATTTAGTAGGAATTATAAGACCATGGCGGCGAGAAAGGCCACAAGAAAGTGACCCATCGCACTGTATCAACCAACCTGGCCAAAGTACCAAACCCTCTGAGTTGGAAAGTAGGGCAACAGCAACCCCACACAGGGCTCAGGGGGAAAATCTCTCAAGCTGTTTTTCCAAAGAACCTAGGCCAAAGGCCACGTACAGGGCACTTATTTCACCACAGACTGAGAGACAGGTTTTCAGAGCAAAGGGAGTAATTTTATGCACATACCATCACTGTTCCCTAAGTCTCTGGGTTCTCCCTTTGTTGATTCTCAGCTTTTCAAATACGGCTCTTCAAGACGGACAGCCCTCCACCCTCAGCCTGCAGCGCTTCCCTGCCCTCACGCATGCTCAGAGCCCATCCACATTCTTGCTTCCTAGCTGTTGTGTTAGGTGCTGTCGAGTTGTCTCCAACTCATAGAGACCCTATGCACGGCAGAACAAAACATGCCCGGTCCTGTGCCAGCTCCACGATCCCCACTATACCCGAGCCCTTCGTTGCAGCCAGTGTGTCGATCCATCTTGTTGAGGGCCTGGGCAGCCTCAAATCCATCTCTCTTTTGGGAACAGTCAGCGTGGGGATGCAAAGGACACATGAAGTCGGAAACCTGGCCTTGGTGCAATCTAGCAAGGGATGACTCTCCCCAGGAAATCAAGGTGGGAAAAAGTTCAAGTGGACTAGTGTGGGAACATGAAGTGCAGTGTGTGGACAGATGGGCTAGAGGTCTGGGAGGACCCGGAAGGCAGGAAAGATGAGGCGATGCTTTCCAACTACAAAGGGTCCACGCAGGGGATGGAGGTCATCAGAATAATAACCAGCAACAACTGGAATTCACAGGCCATTTCCCGTGTACAAGGCCTTGTCAGGCCCACCTCATTCTACTGCGTGTCCCTTTCTTGTGTTGCATGGGCACTACAGTTTACAAATGGAGGGGTCTGCAGAAACCCTGCACCAAGAGAGTCTATCGACACCACTTTTCCAACTGTGTGTGCTCATCTTGTGTTGCTGTGTCAGTTTCGTTATTCTCACATTTCAAATGTTTTCATAATGCTATCGCACACTTACTAGACTACTGCACAGTGTAAATGTAACTTTTTTTATATGAGTCCTAAAAATGTGTGTGATTCATTTTACTGTGGTGGTCTGGAACAGAACCTGCACTATCTCTGACGTGTATCTCTACTGGGATCGCCTAGTAAGGAGGGCTGTGCTAGGATCTTCACCATTTTACACATGAGGAAGCTTGGCTGTTCAGGGGTTAAGTGATTTGCCCAAAGTCCACAAGTATTACGCCTAAGAGCCTGGCCTGAAAGCAAGGGAGTCAAGAGTTTGAAGACAGAGACGACCCAGAGATCCGCATTCAGAGACCCTTCCTCACCTGTGCACTATGAGGACGGATGGGGGGCTGAAACAGAACGCGGAGGGTTAGGAGAAGACTCTTACAGTAACCCAAGTGACAGAGGAGAAAGGCACTCAGCACTGAGACAGGGTCAGAGTGGAGGCCAGAGACACAAGGTGACTGACAGAGTGAGGGGAGGTAGGTACTCAGTACTCCCTGCCTTGTGACAGACTCACTGGCCTGCTTATCACCCTGTGGTCTAACATGGACACTTCCGAGAAAAGACTGTCACGCAGGCAGAAGACAGGAAGGGGGGAGATGGAAACCTGCTCGGCACCATCTCTAAGAAGCATCCCACAAGCCAGG